CGGGCACGTAGGCACACGTGTCCGAGGCCCAAAGCGAGAATTCCATTTTTCGGAATTCAATGCCAAGCCCCCGTTTTTGCGTTAATTTGGATTTAACGGGGGTCCTTGGGCCCGTTGAACGGATGAACGGCCGTTGAATTTCGCCCGTTCTCCGTTCAAAAGATACACAGAAGGGTGCCCATTAGCCCCTCTCTTGTTCGTCTTACAACTAGAAGTCTTACGAGATAACATTAGGTTTAACCCGACGATAAGACGGCTTGAACTCCCCTCTTCCATACACTAGAAGGGGGGAGCGATCGCAGACGACCTCACTATCGCGTGCGAAAATTCTCAGACATGTTTGACTGAACTTAGAATAGTGTTAGATGAATACTGTAGTTTATCAGAGACATTTATAAACTGGGATTAATCAGCTTATTTACTTCCCACACCTTTCTCAATCAAGGTAAACTGGGGCTTGAGAGAAGTCCCAACAGAAAGTTCAGAACGACTTCTAGGGGTACAAACTTCAATGTAGAACTACGCTAAGGCTCAAGACAAGATTTTGCAAGACAAAGTGTGTGCAAGGACCTCAGGATGGGTCAGGAACCGCAAACTCTCAGTGTATGGTCGGACGTTGGTTCTAACCTCTGCGGCCTTTTCAATACTATGGTTCTCTTTGTTTGTACATCATTTGGGAAACCCGGCCTATGCCGCAATTCAAAGAGTAGCGGCGCGTTATCTGTGGAAGCCAGAGGCCAAGGACCAACAAGGTTTCATTTATAAAGTCGCATGGGACTTAGTCTGCCAACCAAGAAATCAAGGAGGTTTGGGCCTGCTGGACCCTAGAGATCAAAAAATCGCACTACTGGTCAAATGGATCATCAAGGACTACTCTTATGCAGAGCACTGTGAGCACAAACAATGGGTCCAACTGGCTGAGTATACCCTTAAAAGGGATTGATCGCTGGCTGAGGATGTGAATGTTTGGTCTTGTATACTGCTAACAAAGATATCTACAACGAGGACGGAATCAAGAATATGAAATGGAATACTGGCCCCATGGCAGAAAATTAATCCGTAGCTGCTGTCAGCACCAAGTACTAAGATAGAAGTTCTGAACCAAAGTCTATCTGATAACCCTCTGATCAAGGATCCTTTCGGTGATCCTTTCGAGACACGAGATAGAGCTGAGAACTTTGCCCGCTCCTGGATTGAGAAGGGTGTATTCAAGATCATGCACATATGGTATATCCGAAAGAAGTGGTGGTTTACAGTGGGAGACATGAGGAAAAAACTCCCAAGGTTACACAAAATATAGGAGCACTATGCTGCGATCTTAGCAGTAGTACCAACTCACTGGCAGAATCTCATCAAGGAGGATACAAAACAGGCAATGGACACATGGGTGTTGCACCCAGATGATGGACAACTGGTATTGAAGGTTTTGGGTCCAGATTTACTACAAGGGACTAGTTTGGAAAAGTGAAGAAAGGGCCGCCAACTGAAAGAAGGACTGAACTGATCAAGGATAAGGAAATCAGATTGGACTCTACAGCCAACCTGGAAGAGGTAAGGGTTTGGGATCCAAAGAGGGATGGCTCGAAAGGAATGATTTTATTGAATAATTTAGCTAAGGATTATGGGGTGAAGCCTCTCCAATATGGTTGGAAAGAACCAAGAGGAAGTAAAATTCCAATAATCCTTTATCAAGCGAGAGTTGGGGTAAAACAGCGGAGGATGCAGAAGGAGCAACCTCAAGAGAAAGCCATAGAAAGATTTCAAAAAAGGCAGGGGCTTAATAAGGCATGCCCTGATTTTGGAATGTTGTAGAAAACCCTAAAGAAGATCATGTAACAGAAACAAGCAAGCTTAATGTGGGCCCTGACAATGTCGGTGATCCTATCGGCACAATGGCTCAGCCATAGGGTGATAAATCTCAATGTGACTTGTCAAAGATGTAGTTGTGACGAACCATTTTATGTAATCGCGCGACTTTCTGCTCGAAGTTGCCTTGGGGACACAATACGGGTCAGATGGGTGAGCCGCGGAGAGATGGGTCGCTTGGGTAAGTTGCATGGGTACCCTCGTTTCTTTTTTGTTTTCTATGGGAATTTATTCGGTTGGTGTCGGGAAAGTGCCGCGCGGACGATTGGGTAACCGCGCCTTAACGAGCACGATGGACAACGGTTGTCATGGCTTATTTCTTGTTCTGCTATGAGCACTAGGAAATTTTGGCGCGATCATCGCGCGAGAATGTCTTTTTTTTTTTTTTTTTTTTCAACTGACGTCGAACCCTCACGGGCTCACGGAACTGTTTTTTGGCTTTTTGGAATTTCTCTTTGCAATTAGGAATTTAGGTAGTCTAAATTTTGTTGCGACGCGCTTCTCACTCGCGCCCATCTTGCCGAGTTAGGAACTGGGCTCTGACAGGATCGCACCCTTAATCTTGTGTAACTGTCGCTTTTGGCGGGCGCGATTATAACTGTATCTTTCTTTTGTCTTCATTTCCTCGTGTTTGCTTGTCTTCTTCTTCTTCTTTATCTTGCATGTTTAATACTTTGTACTAATTGGCCTAAATGCTTGTACGACCGGATCGATGCGTGAAGTGTTGCTACGACCCTCACGCCGCGGCCTGGCCATGCAGACATAGGCACTTCCTCTCTTCTCCTCCTGACCACTTGGGCTTAATCCCATGTCTTTCGCGCAAGCATGCTTGCTATAAATTTTGCAAGCGCGATTGGTTTTCTCTCTATGAACTTTGGAGTTAATGCTATCAGTGAGGGTCGGCTAACGAGTCAACTTGAGAGGTGAGTCGATGAGAGAGTTGGGCGATCTGACGAGCTGGTGTCGGGTATGCAGGGGTTGACGTGCGGGCCACGACGAACTGTGGCGCACGGTTGAATCTGGTTTGCATGCTCGAACTAAGCGGGGTGACAACTCTGTGTTGATGCGTGGTGACGGACTGCCCACATCAGGGAGTGTAGAGCAGAGAGAGAGAGAGACTCTGAGAGAGAGCGGCTATGTGCGGGATGAGGTCTCTTCTTCCAATTATCTACATAATTTTGATTTTTATTTTGGCCGATCTTGTTGCGGCCCTCTCAGACTTTTCTTGTAAATCGTTTCGAGTTTTCTTTGTCGTTTTTGCCTCGTGTGTATGCATGAAATTAATGCGAACCCTTTCCGAGTGATATTTTCGGATTTTTTTTAGTCTTGTTTTGTGATGTCTACTTAATTCAAATTTCGTCACTTTCTAGTGTCATCTGCGTCGTGTAATAATCCCGGGTTTGATTGAAGACACTCGCTATGAATGTTTGGGTTTAATCGCTAGCCTTTGATCGTCATCAGATCACCGAGAATGTTGTGATGCCAGGGCATTGCTCCCCCCCCTCCTCTCCTTCTCTTTCCCTTCGTCACATGGATGGCATGGATGTGAATGTAATGACTAGATCTCACCCGAAATAGTATGGGTATGATAGTTCCATGCATCGACACGAGAAACCCGAGTCTGATTCACTTTCGTTCATGTGCACGCTCGCCTACGACCACGATCTTAAGAAAACCGAGTTGCAGTGTACGCGCACGTCTGCATGAGTTGATCTTGATCCTGAATCACTATAAGGATGTGGGAGATCGAGTCCACTAGTCGGATATGGTTGTAGAAACTCCCTTTTGGATCACTGATCGTGAGAGCCTGAGGGATCCGAAGTATCGTGAATATTGGGAAGACGAACATCTCAGACGCGGGGAAACTCGGGAAACCCGAAATTTCCCTGTCTAACGGAGAACGATCGACTATGCGCGGGGGATTTTCATTGGGCCATAACTAGCGATCCTAGGGGCCCAGACTATCCGAATACTAACAACACTCAGTATTACATATCTTCGGGCTTCGTTATTAATACCAGTTCCCCACCCTTCCATCTCGTCCTTCCATATCACCAGCTTACAGTGGTACCATGGAATTCCATAGCTCGCGACTGGCCTTGCACATCGTGTGAAGAGTGCTTGCAGTACCAGGAGTATCGAGCTTCGGGATTTATCCGACGAACCCGAACTTAAGCAGAGCGGCGATTACACAGCTTCCGCTTGAGGCCGGCCTCGCCGGATTCCGAAGCTTGTTACGAGCGGCGCCGACAACTGTTCGAACAGCGCGACAGCCATGCGGTCCCACCAGTCCACTAGATAAGGGACCGACCGCGGCAACGCAACTGGCAGAGTTGATAATCCCATCCCCGAAGAATGAAATGCCAGATACGATCTTCGCGTACCATCTTGCCTCATTGTCCCTAAACTATCCACCAGAGATCCCAGTTCCGACCTGGGACTCCATCCCGACTTTCGTAAAATCCCTTGCACACCCCCTTTTCGCACTTCCAGGTCCCCATCCCACTCCAATCAGGAAGTCGCGCTGGGCGTGAGGTTTGGGCGTCACACCGTTAGGGGTGGGAGGCTACAGAACATCTGTGGCTTCTCTGCCCCCTGGCTGACGAGTTGTGGGTTTGGTGGAAACTACAGTGGGCATGGACGGATGATTGGATATTATCTGCGACAGCCCCCCCTCAGGCTAATTTTGTGGGCGACTGGGGGTATGTAGCCCTGGTGTGCAGAGGCATCCTCCTGGAAGTCATCTGGAAAGCAAGGAATGCGGTGGTTTTTCACCAAAACCCAACCCCCCTGCAACAGCAGATCAGAATGGTCGAGGAGATGCTTATTAGGTTAACCATTCTGACAGAATGGAGGAGATCGAGGCAAAGCGCAGGGAGGGGCCTGCATTGGTTCCGAAAAACATGGACAGAGGATGATTTCTTAACCACGATCAAACCAGAAGGAAAACTGCAAATCTCCAAATGGCTACTTTAGCTCAGACACTTTTGGGACAGGTGGCAGCCCTTTGAGCCCAGGGAAAAGAGTAAGGTAGTTGTGAGGGTCGTATTTAGACCCCAATTTTGTTTCGAATGTTTACGGATAGTAGAACCCTTGTGGAGCGAAAGCTATTGACTTGATATGGAGCTGCTCATGTTTTGAACTTGACTGGGGTATAGAGAGATTATAGTATTAAAAGCCTATTGAGGAGGCAACTCTACCCCACCCCCCCTTTTTTGCTTTTAAGAATTTTTGGAAAGAATGGGACACTGGACAGGGTTTCCAGGAGCCTACAACTGGGTATTGGTCCGAGCATGTTCTCGTACCGTGTTGATTTGTGGGGTGTATTCCCGGCCCCCTGTCCTTGGTTTTCAAATGAAATATGCCAACTTCCAAAAAAAAAAAAAAAAAAAAAAAAAGAAACAAGTTCTTTCCAAAAGGTTTCGAAAGATCCAGCGGCCTAGCTCAGTTGGTAAGGCACGCAAGTGGCATTCAGGAGGTCTTGAGGCCATTGGGTTCAATCCCCAATGGCCTCATGTACCTTCCTGGGCATGCTTGGCGCTCGCCACCTAGATATAGCCCGTTGGTCCCCCCAATTGGCATTAAAAAAGCAGTCTCTGCTGATGTTCATAGGGGAAGGGGTACTCAGGGAGGCACAGCGACTGGCCACTCAGATGACGCTCTTTCCCTCTTTTACCGGCTGTCCCCTGGCCGGTGCCCCCCAGTGGGGGATCCCTGAAGGCTATCAGGCCACCCACTTAGCCTTATCGCTAGGTGTCTGCCTGCTAAGCCGTTGACAGTGTGTTCGAGTCTTGGATTCGTCACACCCTGGGCTGAAAAGGCCACCCTTGTCGGATTAGACACAAGATCGAATTTACCTGTGCTGGTCAGTCCGATGATAATACCTCAAGGCCCAAAAAAAAAAAAAGAAGGTTTCTTTTTTTCTTTTTTTTGTTTTTTTCGACAGATGTCAGATTGGCCGACGTCAAAAGTAATTTCGAAGAAATGCGATCCTCCCGCCTTGACCTCCAGTGGTCTTGTCAAAGGGCCCACCCGAAACGGTTGATTGGCAAAAACAAAAAGGAAAAAAGACGGGGCGATTACAAGGGACATGCACAAAAGACGAAACTTATGGTGGTGTATGTTGCCATGTTCTACCCAAAGGTTCACACTCTCGTTCACACGCGTCGAGAGCAGTGGAGCCTGGGCCATCGGGGGCCATGACCCATATTGCTCTTTTTGGTATGTGGCGAGTAGTGGAGCGACGCCCCATGTATCCTCCCAATCTCAACGGATGCCACATGACGTGGTCGCTATGCACTTCGGGCTGTGCGACGCCGTGGGGTACGCAGCATTCCAGCTGTGGGACACCATGGGGAACACCCAGTCAGCAAAGGTAGTGTCCGAAACCTTACTTTAACCATCTGGAAAATCAGAACGAATCCTCTGCTAGAACATGGGTGGATGCATTGCCATGTCTTTTGTGCATGTGGATTAATACTGGAGCAACGACCAGATCCTCCCAATCTCAAACGATGCCACATGGCGTGGTTCCATCACCTTGATACGAAACTGCACTTCGGGCTGTGCGTCAGTGCGGCACTGCAGCTCGCCTCTTTCCAGCTGTGCGACGCCGTGGGGCACGTCGGATTCCAGCTGTGGGACAACATGGGGAACACCTCGTCAGCAAAGGTAGAGTCCAAAACCTTGCTGTACCCATTTCTGCACCTCCCCCAAACAAGGGACATTGAGGCCCCCTCCAGGTCCCACACACCTCTCTGTAAATTAATCCGTGAAGAGTGTTGATTTGGGGAAATGGGTAGACTGAACCCCCCGCAATCATCTCTGTGGGAGACTATAAAAGGCGAGAAGGGCCTTCAGCAGTATATTCACAACTAACCTAGCAGCGTGTGGGGCACTTGACCTTCCACCCACAGGGGATACCATCAGCTCGTGTGGGCTCAATCACGTAGAAGAAGCAGAAGCGACTGAAGAAGCAACAGAAGGGCGCGAGGGAAAGCGGGAAGTGGAGAACGACGAGGAATATAGGAAAAGGGAGAAGCGAGAGCTGACGAAGTAGACCATGCAAACGATGGAGCGTCAACACTTTGGCTCGCCGTCTGCTGCGGCAGGAGTTCTGATGATGGGTTTTATGGTGGCCTGCATCATCTCGAGCGTGGCATGCATGCCCCCGGGGCAGGGTAGATCTCTGCGGGGGGCGCCGTCGGCTGAGTCGCTGTTACGAGCAGCAATGACCGACGCAACGACAAGCCGATACGAGTTGACGGCGAGCGTGAAGCTGACAAGCTCTCTTCCAGCGCTGAACAAAGACTTCACTTTGGTGGGTAACTGCGGAGGCAGGGGCTGTGCGATCGACGGGCAAGGGAAGTTCCGCGGATTCGTTACGAGTTCCTCTCTCTCGCTGTCGAACTTGGAGTTGGTGGGGATGAGGACGGTGGGAACGAACTTGAACTCTGACGGCTATGCAACGAGCGGCGGAGCCGTCTACGTGAGCGGCGGGCCGCTGACGGTGTCCAAATGCGTGTTTCGCGGAAACAGGGCGCAGAAGGCAGGCGGCGGCGCCATCGCCATGCTAGACTCGCAGTTCACCATCTCCGACAGCATGTTCACTGAAAACAGCGCCGATGGTTCGGGAGGCGCGCTCATTGTGTGGAGCAACAGCTTCGGAGAGCTGAAGAACACCGGGCTGTCTGGCAACAAGGCGGGGCTTTTCGGCGGKGCGGCGTACTTCAGAGAATCCAGTGTGAAGGCGCTGTCCTGTGCCTTCGCSGCCAATAAGGCGGGARASAACGGAGGAGCGCTGYTGCTGAGCGAGTCCGATGCCACCATAGCCAAGACCTCCTTCACCGCCAATTCCGCTCCCAACGGACTGGGAGGGGCCCTTCGCGTTCTCCTTGAGGATACTGAGGTTCTGATCTGCAGCTCCACGACCTTCGCAGGCAATTCAGCCCAGGACAACACCACCAATGACGCCTCCGTCGAAGGGGGCTATCTCACCTACTGCGGGGAGCCTCCCGCCGAAGGCCCCATCCGCCCCTCCTCCTGCTCCGTTTGCACATAAAAGCATGCTCTCTCTCTCTGACTCTCTCTCTCTCTCTCTCTCTGTTAGCACATAATCACGGACTTAGGTGTTCCGGGGGTTTATTCTTGATGTGGTTTCAATATGTCGAAAGTGTGCTACGGTATATGGGCGGCGGTAGCGACCAGGTGCCGAAGCAGCATTTTTGCGGAAGATTTCATTGACTAGTGCGCAGGAGTGTGGATGCCGTTCGTTCGTACTTTCATCAGAGTACCCTTATTCATGACTGCAAAAGCAGCGCACACTCATCGTGACTGCATCAGCGTGGAAAGATCAGTTGCGCACATTCGTGAGCAGGGTGCGTACTCTTCGAGGGAAACACTGGGCACCGGGTAAAAGTGCGCAGTCTGATCATGATTGCATCCGACAGGAGATATGTTTTTTATACATTCAACGGCGGGGCGCCATGTGTTTGAGGGAGGGAAGGCGTCTCTTCCTTTTCTCTCAGCACAGCCCCTCGGTGCGCTGGAAGAGAGACTTTTGTGCCACTATCTGGCCACAAACACGGTCAGATACCTGAACGCCAATCCATTTTAGTTCCAGCACACAATTAGTTTAAGCCTTCTCCATCACTACGCATCTATTGTGGTGTCCCATGGCGCTGAAGCGCGTGACCTATGCCGCGATGAGTAGGAGGGCGCGCGGCTTGTTGCGAGCGTGAGCCTAAGTGTATCCGGGTTTCGGTGCACATCTTGTTGGTAGTAGCAAATATTAAAATGGGAACTTTGAAGAGCCAAGAGATCACCGCTTGGACATGGATCAGTCTTCCGCAGTCGGCGGGGTAAGAGACGTCACGGTGGAACATTTATTTTATCTTGTCTTTGTCCATTAGCTGATGATACGCATCTCCTAACAAAAAACATTAACGTTCTCTTTGGGGTCGTTATATCTTGTCCGCTCTCGTTATTGTTGTCCGTCGGACGAGTAGTAGTAGTAGTGCAGAGACTGTAGACGCTGGTGTCAAGGTTTCTTCTTGCATTATTTTTTCTTGAAATGCGTGCGGAGAAGTGAAGTAACCCTAGGCAAACTCCCTTAGGCCACAAGGGTTGCATCTTCTGACTTTCAGATGATGAAGGTAAAAACTGCACTAGTAGTTGAAAGACAGATGTTAAAAGGAAATGCCGCTATTTAATTAAGCTAATGGTTGATGTCCTGCAACTTCTGACTGTCAGCGATTACGAAGCCGAGGTGGGATCATTGCCTCCTAAGCGGCAGTCATAATGGATGGAGTAAGGCCTCCCTGCAAGCGCCAAACTCATGCGCGCTTAGGTTGCTCACGAATTCCCTACGACAGGTGCTATGTTCAGATATTCTTTTTATGCTTCTGTCCTTCGATTCAAGGCCTCAATGCCTATGGAATATAGGCTCCTCATCATCCAGTGTTCGTCTCTGTTTCTGCATTTCTGCCCCTTCCTTCATCTCTTTTCCTCCCTGTCTCCCTTTCTCTCCCCTCAGATGGTGCTCTCTCTCTCTCTCTCTCTCTCTCTCTCTCTCTCTCTCTGTCTCTCTCTCTCTCTCTCTCTCTGTGTGTGTGTGTGTGTGTGTGTGTGTGGGTGTGGGTGTGTGGGATTTTGCGGGTGTTTCTCTCTACCTCAGACTCACACACACATTCAGGCATACAGCAGCATGTCAGGCACTTCGAGAGCACAAATCTCACAAAAACAGTCACCTTCAAAATTACTTGCGAGCCAGCTGACCTAACTCAGTTGGTAAACCGATGAGCAATTGACATACGGACTTAAGCTTGAAGCCTTCCATTGCAATGTAATCGGATGAGCGGATCCGACTCCGAATCTACCTGGGGGGCCCTGGTCAAGGTAGAGATGATATCTCCAGGCTGTCGGCCTGAGGCTTAAAGAAAAGAAAAAGGAAGGAAAATCAGTGTCACGGGATGGTGGTTAGAACTTAGATCTTCTTCTTCGACTTTTTTTTTTCCTTTTCTTTTTCTGTCTTTTCTAAAACGTCCAGATTTTTTGTTCTACAGGTTGACGGTCTACGGTAGATCCTTGGAAGGAGAAGAGTATGGGAAACTCTCCGGGAGTAGGGAGTAGCATGTACTCTGCAGAATTATAGCGGAAGTCGTATTCACAACTCGAGCGCCGAGTCACAACGGCCCCAAAACACAACTTACTGTGTCGTTGTGGCATCCTCAGCGCTGCTAGCCTGATCATACCTTCGCTAGATTAGTAAACACAAGCTCATATTCAAGCCCAAAGCGCACACACCAAGTCTCTCGGAGTCTCGGGTATGAATTTCACAAGCATGATATCAAGACGCAAGAGTAAATTGCCAGAAGCGCAAAAAGCAACTTACATCCCGGATTTGGTATCCGACCACATCAGTCAAGACGATTCCGCGCGATCGGCACCAGTATCTGAAGAAAGAACAAATATTCAAAGGCGAAAACCCGAAACGAAGAAATTCATCGCCGCCAACACAAAAGTAATCGTACAGACAAATGAAATCGTACACACAAAAGAATCGTACATACAAAAGAATCGTACAATACAAATGAAATCGTATCCAAACCAACAGTACTTGGCCCAGCTATCAGCAGAGGAAAGAAATAGAGTAGCTCCTGTAGCGACCTGTACATTTCCATGATTTCCTCAAATAATGGCTTGTGAATGGGCACGACTTTAGGAAGTACAGCCTGTACAAGTGCTGTGATAGACACCAAACAGAAGAAACGAAGATAAAAGCTGGAATCAATGAGTCGTAATCTACCAACAACGTAGACTCGTAGAGAACAACGTATAGACCGCTGATGCCATTGTAGAGGTTGAAGCCTAGACATAGGACAATCACCCCTTCAGTAGTCGAGGCCGTATCATTTGGTTTCGCTCCACCTTTATGAGGCCACCACCCGGCTCCCTAGCGGCTCACAGCAGTGGGGTGAGAGTACCCTCCCTTTCCTCAGCAGTTGTAGGCGCCAAGGCCTGGGACTAAACAGGAACCCTGAACGAGCTATGACGGTAAGATCTTATCTAGGGTGAGTGCTTTGAGTCCGTGTTCACTGCTCCTCTCTCTCTCTCTCTCTCTCTCTCTTTCTCTCTCTCTCTCTCTCTCTCTGTGTGTGTGTGTGTGTGTGTGTGTGTGTGCCCGGGGGCTGGGCGACCCCCCGGCGACCAAGCAAGCAATCAATCAATTAATCAATAAGAAAACAAAAAATAGTTGAAAGAAACGAAAGCACGTTCGTTATTTTGTATGTCTGTGGCCCTGTGGGTGTGTGCGCGGGGGGTGGACGACCCCCCTGCAATCAACCAATCAATCAATCACCAAAAATACAAAGCAGAAAAAAAAACGTTTTGATTTTTTTTTGGTTTAAATGTGTTTTTTTTTAAAAGCGAAAATAAACTCCGATTCCATATATATATATAGGGTTAATTGCAGAAATAGCTTGCCTGTTGAAGTTTCGCAGCAAAAATATTGGCGGGGCCCAAGTTTCGTAGCAAAAATGTATCTTTCGTTGCAGCTTTAGAGGTCCCGGTAGTTTCACAGCAAAAATATTTGCTGGGGGGGGCCCACTTTCCTTGCAAAAATAGATGTTTCGGAACCGTATAACATTTCTGCTGCCAAACTTCAAGAACGCGCTATTTTTGCAATTGCCCCATATATATATATACACAGAGAGAGAGAGAGAGAGAGATACGGTTGTATGGTTTTCAAAACACTACCACCCCCTTTTCTTTTATTTTACCTATTTCGTATGGTCGGGAAAAATTCCCGAAGATGTGCGGCTGGAACCCTATCGGCCGCGGCCATGGCCGGGATCGGGATCCTGACCGTCGCCCCTGCAAATGACATCGGCCATGACCGGTGGGGTGGGGGGGTGGGGGGGGGGGGATTGACTGTGCCTGGGTGTATCTGGATATCCACAGTGTGGACATCAAACCTTATCCATGCGTTGAGAAATTCGAAACATTCCGATCCGCCGTCCTTTCTTATGAGCTTGAGGCTCTGATCATACTCCAAATCTGGTCAATATGTGACGATACTTCTTCTGCTTGCTTCCTTAATTCGTCATCTGCAGACTTATATGACAAAACAACAACTATGTCATCGATCATCCTCATCCTGTTTACCTTCTTCTGCATTCCCCCGATTGATTCAATGGACGCTGCTTCTGATCTGGTACACACCGAAACGGGAGTGTGGGGCTCGAGTTCCTCCCCAGCTGTATACTGAATACCTGTGTCAATATTCGTCCGACACTCATTATATACGTATCATGGATCTCAAACTCCATTGCCTCAAACAACATCTTAAATGTTATGAGAAGAAAGCCTTCCTCGAGCCTTAGTGACCTCGTGGTCCTCGTCAGCGTGCATATCTTCCCCCTCCTACAGACCTTTGCTGCTAAATATCATTTCCTCTGAGGCTCTGACTGAGTCTGGCATGTACCGATTAACCAGATAACTGCCTCCTTTACCCTAAGCCTTGGATGTGATAGGCTTGCAAACATGTCTTTGATATCATAACTCCTTGCAATCGCCCGATCCCCGTCCTTCCTTCATGATTTCTTAATCCCGATCCCCGTCCCTCCTTCATGATTTCTTAATCCTCTAGCATACCTCTCACAGAGAGTCTGTTGTTCTCAAATCAAATGTACATCTTTGCTGATCGAGAACAACATGTCTCTCATCCCCCTTTGTACTCTAGCACCAGCAAGACTCCTCGGATCTTTTGAGTCGTTTTGACACCGATGATATAGGTCTCCACCTCTCCATATCCTTATCTTTCGGCAACGCATACAATCTTCAAATCATCCAACCAGTATACAGCATTCTGACATTCGCACCCTTCCTATCATCAGCCTCCTGTTCTCCTCCTTCATCCGTGCTTGCATGATTTTGTATCCCTCTCTCTTCATAATCCTCAAGGTCAAAACTTTGACTCCAATTGAACGTCATTTTACAAGGATGTGACTACAAAACAAAACATATCAATAAGGTTCATCCATCATTGCGACCCATGGGCACGACTATAAACCTATGTTCCACATTTACCATGGACCTAACCTCGCAAGTACTAAAAAACTTCCAGTACTGCATCGGGCTCATACATGATACACCTCACGTGGCTCACCAACTCCTGTGAGTCACTGAGTCCTGTCACATGTGTAATTGAATCCAGAGGATTGTTCCTTGCCGATGGTTTTACAACCATACATACGCATTTTCTCATAAGATCTGCACGATTCTGCAGTCATATTACATCAAGTAATTCAAATTGTGATATCGACGGAAATTCTTTCTAAATCTGTGAATACCTTCAACATCATCCATCCTCACTTTACCGAGCCCTCGTACCCTGGGTAAGCCAATATCACGTTCTAACTTTCCTGGTTCTCCATACGTGCATAATGTCCCTTCTCCTACTTCGCCGTACTCTGATTATGCCGATGATTGTGAATCACCTATCCCACATTCTTCCTCTTCTTAAATACAACCCCGCAGACTCACTCTCTCTCTCTCTCTCTCTCTCTCTCTCTCTCTCTCTCTCTCTCTCTCTCTCTCACACACACACACACACACACACACACACACACAACACAGAGAGTGCCCCCCTGCGCTCAAACGCGCTCAAAGCGCTTTAAGGCGCGCGAGCTTGTCAAAAAAGAGCGCGCGCGCATCATGGGGTTACGCGACGGCAGGGGATG